GAGCATGTTTTAGTTAAATAAGGTTGTGGCAGAATATCAGCGACTTCCGATAAAACGGCGGTCTAAGGCTGAGTCGCATTCCCTTTTTGTTCCGAAAAAGGTGATATGTTAGATTTTAAGTTTTTGTATTTGTTATTATGTATTTTTGGAGCAAATAAATACTTATTATTATTATTAAAAGCCTTCTTTCTACTGAATAAAGATTGAAAAAAAGACCCTTATGTATAGTTATATTGCAAAATTTCAGGTAATACATCCGGTAGCAGTAGCACAACCGGTTGTCCACGCCGCCCCAGTGTACTCGCAACCGCTAGTCCACGCGCCGGTTGCCGTCGCACAACCGGTAGTGCACGCCGCACCGGTTATCTCACAACCGGTCGTGCAAACCTACGCACAACCCTACGTTAGCTCCGTAGGCCACGGATGGTAAACGCGGACGACCTTGTTAGCGATGCAATAAAGTTCAAATTGTATTATTTAAGCGTTGAGATCATGTCTGTTTTGTTGTTGTGGTGCAAATAAACCTTTCTCATTCACAGTATTTAAATAAACTTTGTTTTATTAATTATGTTCTTATGTTTTAAGCATTATCACCGTTATCAGGCTTTATTGTATATACTAGTGATGTAACGAATATTCGCATTCGCGAATATTCGCATATTTTTGAATATTCGCATTCACATTCGCATTCGCAAAATCTCTCCGAATGTTTTGCGAATATGAATATTAGAAAAAAACAATTTGAAGAAGTTGTAGTTCCGCCTTTCTTTGAATATCCTTGAATATTCATTGTTACACAGTTTGCATTTAGCTCGTTCAGCATCGCAAAGTGTGAAATAAGTCCATGTTTCACTAGAATTCGATATACTCACGTTAATAAATCACTATTACCACTCACAATCACTAACCTCAAAATTCACTTGTTTTGTTTACGGAAAGACCTGTGCGAGCGGAATGACACTTCAGTCGGATGAGTTCATATCAACTCGGCAATTCGAACGAGGCTGCCACCATGCCATAGACAATTGGCGCCAATTTAAAAAAAAAACTAAATATTCGCATTCGCGAATGTTCAAAAAATGACATTCGTTACATCACTAGTATATACCCATCGCAGTGATACAGACCTTTCCTGTGGATGGAATAAGGAGAATGGGGCCGCTCTTTGACCACACCACATGAACCCAGTGCGATTTGGTGGGTGCCACGGCTGCAAATGCAACCAGGACCAAGGGCTTAACCTGTCTTCCGTATAGGGTTGCAAACTATACTGTTAAATAAAACACATTTCAACGGGTAAGATGCACTTATTTTATTTGTTTATTGGCGTTTCGCAGCCTTTTCAGGTCTGCGTCCTGAATAATGATGTTTTATTTTAAATAAAAAAATCATGTTTTATTTAACAGTATAGTTTGCAACCCTATACGGAAGACACGTTAAGCCCTTCGTCTTGGTTGCATTTGCAAACGTGATGTGCGTGAAAACCTAAGAAACAAATAACCCTCTTACAACCTGGGATCCTTTAAAAGAGGCGTGAAGAAGTAACATGCAGGCCGGCAGAGTGAGGATGGCTGGTGTGGCAGGTAGAACTGCTGTATCAGCTATCTTCACCTCTGGACTTCACCTTCACTTAACATCAGGCGGGGTGGAGTCATTTGTCGGACCTATCTATAAAAAAAAGAAAAAAACTATACTGTTTGAAAAAGTATTATACTATTTTTCACTATATTACACTTTTTACCGTTGAAAAAAAGAATTCATAATACTGTTTTTCAGATGGTTGAACAACCTTAACACAGAACATTCACACCAGTGTTAAGGGTTTTTCCCGACCTCGACCCACACTGCCATACTTCGAAGTTCAGTGTGAAAAGGTCATTAAAACATTCAAAAAATACTGTTTATTTTCTTTCTGAGATCTAAAAATACTTTCTTCTATCCTCATTAGATATATAAGTATATGAAAATCTCGGACCCAGGCCGCGCAGACGAATGCACTGGCATTTATGCTACCAAAACCTTTAATGTACGTGTCTGTCTGTATTAAATCGTTCATAAAGAACATTAAAGGACATTGGGCAAAAATGTATGGACGCTGCACGCACGTCCGCCATGGCTTAAACTAGATTTGTTTGAAAGGTATTATAGTCAAGATCATCTGTGCCAAAGTGCATCAAATTCCATCCCGAGGGTCTTTAGTTATTTTAAGTTAAAGATGTAGAAATACTATAACGAACGAACATTAAAGAAACATGGGAATTAATTTAGTTAGTTACTTCAACCCTACACAGGCTGCTCAGGAATTATGGGAGTACTTCATAAGGTGCAAGTGTGCCCCCTTATGTTATTCTGCCGCGCTAGAGTAAATTCAAAAATCCCCGCATGGGTTGGGTTTTTTAAACATTCCGTTCGTTATAGTAAATTGTCTTCTATGTAAAACGACCACAGATTACATAAACTTATCCACGCTTCGTAGAACACATAATTCTAGTTTATCCATACTAATTGACAAAACCGATAATCGTGTTACAATATCCAAAGCATGTTAGATAAAAATCAATCAAGTAGCAGGGAACGCACAATCACAACGAAGTAAGACGAGTCGACTATTTGCAACTGCAAATCCTTCAGCATTCGTAAACCGTTTTGAAATGTCTCAGTAAGAGTAAGCGCAGGATGGTCGGCAGGCTTTGTCGTATATCTGGTTGTATAGTACGATATGGCATATATTATGATTACTAATAATATAAAATGAAGGTATTATAAAATGAATTTATTCAGCTACTTAAATATACCCATGTGTCATATCTATTAACTACCAGGATATTTTTTACGGTGTCATATCTTTTGACTCCCAGGATATTTATTTTCGGTGTCATAATAAAAAACACTAGTTTTTCATAGATCTACCGATTCATACTAATTACATTGTTGGCGGAGCTGGGTGCGTTTTGCCCATTGTCCTTTATATCTACTAAGATATTTTTGAAGTAAAGCAACGGAAATAAGTACTCTATTGATTGTAATTTTAATATTCCAGTGCGATTGTTTTGCATGGCCGTTAAACATGTCCTTGAAAAGCAGGGAAAATTAAAATAAACCATGAAATTTTCAGAACGAAAGAATGCGTGATGCTCTCGTAACCCCAACGCCTAGTTTCGAAACACGCTACCGATTTTATTTGGCATGAAAGTCGTTATTTAACGATATCCTTGTTGGATCGATATCGACAACAGTAGCACATCACTAGCCAGCGCGTGACAAACGGCACATCGCAGCAACCACTATCTTATGAATCAACTCTAAAATGGGGTAACCATGACAAAACATAGAAGCATCATTTTTAATATTTTCACTGTTTGTTTGAATAAAAAAGAAGTAGAGTCTGTGCGGAAAGAGAATGGGATTTAGATTGGAGGGCGCTGTAGTGCTTTTCTACCGTATTTGTAAGGTTTTACTCCTTTTAGACACGATTAAATTCAAAAAAATCCGTATCAATACAAAACTTTGACGTTTTACAGATTGCTGGGTTTAATTGCCAAATAAAAATCTTAATGTTAGAAAAAATTCCACGCGGACCAGGCAGCAGACGGGACTCGAACCCGCACCCTTCGCAATCCGGGCGAATGCACTGACCAATTATGCTACCGCGGCCGCGGCATTTATAATGCGAAGAGATGGCGCTGCCTTGCAGCTTAAGAATGGCTAGAAGAATTTCGACGCGGTCCGTGAGGGCCGCGGTAGCATAATTGGTCAGTGCATTCGCCCGGATTGCGAAGGGTGCGGGTTCGAGTCCCGTCTGCTGCCTGGTCCGCGTGGAATTTTTTCTAGTTATATTTTCTTTAGATTTAAACATCAAGCAGTTACATGCTTTAAAAATAATAAAAATTCATAATCTTAATGTTAGTTCCGTTTTTCGCCACGCCCATTCTCTTACCGCACAGACTCTACAAGTAAATTTTATTTTCATCCCACCACCTCGGAAAGTGTAATTTTGCGCTTCGAAATCTGGCTGGAAAATTCTATTTTATTCGCTTGAGCGGCAAAGTAGATTTGAATTTAGAACATCACATATAATGAGTACTCAATATAATTGTAAATTCAAAACGTCATTAAACCTATTTAATGTAACCTCTATGGTGCCAAATTTATGATTAGAACTTTTTAAATTGTGAAAAAATTTAAATTTGGAACCTTCTTGGTTTCTTTGTTTTATTTGCGTGCTTCGCGCCATTCTAGTTTTTCACGTTTTATTGCTTAAATATTTTGTCATTATAAATTGTTTTCTTTTTCATTTTGTCATTTCCTCGCTGAGGTGGGATGAAAAGTTACGTATTGCACTCGAGTGGAAAGATTTTTCACCTTGTGCTCGTTTGTTTCCCTCGCTGACGCTCAGGATTCTAATTTAGAATCACTCGCTGCGCTCGTGATTCAACTTTAGAATCCTTCGCTTGCTCGGTCATCCAAATCGAGCACGCGGTTAAAAAGGAACTTTCCACTCTTGTATAATAAATAACTATTTATTAATTAAAATTAATTACGTTAAGTTAAGCAAAATATAAGCATAGTCTTCATCATGGTAGGGAACTTTTTATAAAATATGGGATAATAGTGTTAACTTGCTTTTGTGGGTTGTCTTACTATGTCGTTCTTAGCTTTATTAATATTTTCTCAAATTACTTCAGTTAAAATATCGCAATATTTAAACGATATGCTTTCAGTTTTATTAATAAAACATTGATAAACTTCAAGCTCTATCAATCATTGACATAGATTTTAGATATTGGAAAATTCTACCTCATTTTCGAGACAGCATAGTCACCCTAGCAGAATTATGGACTTGTTTCAGTACGCCACAAATGTTCTTTCAGTAAGTCTTTAGCTATGAAACAAAACGGAGTGATTATTGTCTCTATAAAACTTTAATTACAGCTTTTACGATAACTTGTAAAAACTTTCTCCGATTGTTATGGGCACGTCACGGCACGTCACTTGGAGGTTAAAAAAAAAGTTTTGAAGTAACGCAAAAACTTTTCGAATAAGTATTTTGAATATGGAACGTAGTTTTTTTGGCATTAGGGTTTATTGGAAAATTCGTAACAGTGAATTGTGATCTATCTATATTCTAAAACTAAACTTTTTATTATCATAATTTTATTGTATGTTTACGACAAGGCATACAAATAATTTGGATAGTTTAAATGCTGTATTTGCCATTTAACTTTAAATAGTTAGGAAGTGCTAAATAAATGGCTTTAGATTAGGGTTCTGTTGTGGTGTTTATTAAACTGTTAGTGAAGATGCACGCCTGGTCGGGACAGGGTGGCGATATTATGGGGCCTGCAGTCACACGTGAGTTTTTCAATTTATATCTTTTATATAAAATTCTCGTGTCATGGTGTGCGTAATTGAAGTACTCCGAAACGGCTCGACCGATTTTTGTGAAATTTTATATGCTTTCAGTAGGTCTGAGAATCGGACAACATCTTTTTTTCATCCCCCTAAATGTTAAGGGTAGTCCTTCCCCCTCCCTTATTTTTTTTGTTTTTAATTTATTATGATTCATCATACAAAAATACATACAACCCTAAATTTTCACCCTTCTACCACCAACCCCTATTTTTTTTATGGCGGTACGAAGTTCACTGGGACAGCTAGTGTTTAATATTATTGTAAAACATAAGTATTTAAAACTGTTTGAAATTATTAAATAAAACTAGTTTTAACGGGTTAATACATGAAACTTTATTTATTTATTGACGTTTCGCAGCCTTTTCAGGTCTGCATCGTCAGAATACTAACATTTGAGGAGCTGGTGAACAAAACGCTTCTGTTCTGGACGACCATGCAGTTAACCTAGTTTTATAACTCGTTAAAACTAGTTTTATTTAATGAGTGATGTGCGTGAAAACCTAATAAACAAATATGATGGAAATTATATTAATTAGTCTTGGAAACTGTTGGTTACTTAATATTAAACTGTTAAATGCGACTGGGCTGATATAAGAAAAAAAATATACTCACATTATCTATTATATCACTCAAGTCTTTGCCTACACCGAATGTAGTAATTTAGTGTGTTATTATTTTTTATATTGACTGTTTTGTGCCAAAATAATTAAAAAAGTCTCGAAATATGTATTTACTTAAATATTCAATGACTATATTTATAGCTTGAATAGTATAAAAGCAACACCTATTATAAACCCATAACAGCGTCCAGAAATAACTGAGTTTATTTATATTCATCATAAATCTGGTGTTGAAAGGTTTCCCGCTTAACTGAAATACGTCATAAAATCAATACAAAACAACAACTTTTTAGATCGACGATCAAATCTATACTAATAGATTTCATTTAGAAATAAGACCTGAAATTAAACTAATTCCTTAATGAACTCTTGGTATAAATACTAAAAACTTAAAATCAATCTGTTGACACTCAAAGCATTCGTATAACATATTTATCTCTTGCTGTAAAAAATTTCGTGGGTTGGCGCGCTTTTCGAATGCATAATTGACGACCTTCGTGGTCGAGTGGTTTGTACGCCGGGTTTCATGGTGTCGCCGACTCGTGAGGTCCCGGGTTCGAATCCCGGTGGGGGCAGATGTTTGTGTGATGAATACGAACATTTGTACTCCAGTCATGGATGTTTAATATGCATTTCTATATAAATATACTTATATATGTACAGTATATGTATTCAATCCGTTACCCTAGCATCCCATAACACAAGCCTTACAGTGCTTACTTTGGGGCTAGGCTAATTGGTGTGTGTAGTTAAAAAAAAATCATAATTCCAATAGTCACGACTTTTACGTCTGCCATAATAAAAGAAGAAGAAGAAGACTTTTACGTCAAAATAGAAATACAGAAAGGAATCAAACAAACCGAGGAGTATTTTTATACTGCATTGTTCTTTTTTATGTACGACCTCATATTTCAATCAATCAATCAATCAAATCATTTATTGCATTCATGTAGTTACAGAGATGGTTAAATACATGTTATAAAGTACGTTACATGAACCCTGTCAGGGTATCGCAATACTTGGTGTTCTTGAATAGAATTTATAATCCAATATACAATGTAATTTTTTTTTCTTTTTTTAATTTACGTAATATAAATATCTACTCAATCAATCATAATAAATATATTTCATCAATTATCCCATAAAAAAAATATTAATAATTAATTTGAAATAAATTATAAAATATTAATAAAATGAAAACCATGTACATAACAAATTACTAAACATAACCCACCTTAAAATCAACCGTAATCAATCACATATTTTTGACGTGACAACGTCTTAAATTAGGTTGCGGCTGGGAGTCACTTATGAAAAAGTGTAACGCTCGGTAACGTTACGATGAGTCTCTCGTGTTAAGTTTAAGTTTACATGTACAATGTTTTAGTAAACAAAATATATTTCTATAGTTAAAATTTGTGCAATTCTTATTTTCATTCAATTCCTTGTTCCTATTGTGCAATTTAATTATATTCATATCAATAAATATTCTACCGAGAAAAAGACGTTGTCACGTAAAATCTTCGCCCGTAAAACCGACTTTACAGGCAACCATTTTTTTTCAGTTCGGTATCCGCGGTGTGATTTGAAATTAGAACATGAATTTCATATTCATTTCAAATCACACTTTCGAATGTCGCAGTGTATAGTAAGTTTGTTCTCATAGAATAAAACAGCTGATATCATAATCATTACTTTAAAAATAAACTTAAGTGATGCGTGATTGTTGGAAAATTTAATAGTGAACATCTAATATATAAAATTCTCGTGTCGCGGTGTTTGTGGTTAAACTCCTCCGAAACGGCTTTCCCGTTTCTCATGAAATTTTGTGTGCATATTGGGTAGGTCTGAGAATAGGACAACATCTATTTTTCATCCCCCTAAATGTTAAGGGTAATCCACCCCTAAATTTTTTTTTTCAATTTCTGATATTTTTTTTTTTAAATGTTTTATGATACTTCAAACAAAAATACATACATCCCTAAATTTTCAACTTTCTACCACCAACCCCTATTTTTTATGGCGGTACAAAGTTCGCTGGGACAGCTAGTATCTTTATATGATTCTATTTTAAAATAGAAATAAATGTTTAAATCTAAAGAAAATTTTACTAGAAAAACTTTCACGCGGACCAGGCAACAGACGGAACTCGAACTAGGACTACTGCTACCGTGATCATCACTGACAATTATGCTACCGCGGCCCTGACGGCCGTGTCGAATTTTCTCTAACATTCCTAAGGCTGCAAGGATCGCGGTAGCGTCATGGTCAGTGCATTCGCCCGGATAGCAAAGTGCGGATTCGAGTCCCGTCTGCTGCCTGGTCCACGTGATTGTTTTTTACTTAAATTTTCTTTAGATTTAAACATCTAGCAGTTAAATCATTAGAAAATAAAAATATAACAATAGCTTTTGAGTGAAATTTGTTTAAAATATAAATTAACAATAAAGATGGCAAATGAAAAAACGCAAAAATATGTAAATCAATTTTATTTATAAGTCCTTATATGCCAGTATATCTATCCATTTCTTCTCTATCGTAAACGCACAGCCAAGCCAACTGAACAGTAAAGACATTTTGATGCACAGGTACAGGCAGCGCCAAAGCGAACACTCCGCCCTTGAAGAACGGAAGTGACTTGAGAGAAACTGGCTACCTCATAGCAGTTGGCTCTAGGACAGCTAGGTAAAGAAGTTCCAATTTGTAAAAGTATTCATTTGAGATTGTGGTTTACCTATAATGCGAAGAGATGGCGCTGCTTTGCAGCTTAAGAATGGCTAGAAAGAATTTCGCCGCGTTCCGCGAGGGCCGCAGTAGCATAATTAGTCAGTGCATTAGCCCGGATTGCGAAGGGTGCGGGTTCGAGTCCCGTCTGCTACCTGGTCCGCGTGGAATTTTTTCTAGTTATATTTCCTGAAGATTCAAGTTTGGCAAAAACTTTAACAATGGGGATGACTCATTCTTCTTTCTCCGTCTATCAGTAGGGCGGAAATTTGACTTCGGATTTTGGTAGCTGCTATTTTAGACATCAATTTTATATGCATTACACCATTACACGGCAAAATGTCGCTACGTCTATAGAAGCAGCCAGTATTAGATATTTGAAATTTGTCAGAAATCCGAATAAATATGATCGTAAGTAAGATTGCATCTTACAGAATACCTATGCAGATAGATTATCGAAAAGTAATGGACAAATATTTTTCAAAACGTTAAAAAAATTGATTTGTATAGGCGCATGACGTCACGCCTTGGTACGATTTTTACTTAGCAGTGACGTTAAGATCTGTGTTTCCAAACTTTGCCGGGCTTTATCATTGTATTTTTTTAGTGGATTGACAAAAGAAAACAAAGCTTACGCGTTTTGAGACGCATGACAGAAGTGATAACTTAAACTATCCTTTTTGAGAACAGGAGATTGGTAGGTGATAAGGGATTGGAGGGTGAAAACGGAACAGAAGAGGAAAGGGGGGATTGGACAGTGATAAGGATTTGGTGGGGGATTGATGAGTGCGTCTGGCGACACCCCTCTGGTACCGAAGCGGGCTGTGGCGTCTATTTGCGGCGAAGGGAAGTAAGACAGAGTATCGTAACGCGTTACGTAACGAAGTGGTTTACCCTCCCATAAGTAGTTATCACTTCAAAAGTGGCCATTATTTTTGATAATCTAACTGACGGAGTAAATAAAATCTCATTTATTTTCGAAATTTTCCTAGCGTTAAGCTGTTAAATAAAAAAAAAATCATAACTACAATTGCCATTTCTTCTTTCAAATGTTTAATATTTGAAAAAGTATTCATTTGACATTGTGGGTTACCTACAATGCGAAGAGATGGCGCTGCCTTGCAGCTTAACGCTAGGAAAATTTCATTTACTATACCCCATCATCATCCTTATTAAAACGTAAAGTTTCTTCAGTGTAATAAAGTCCCCGTTGATGAGGTACAGGCCTTCACTATGGATAAAATAGGGAGATTGGGCCATGACCTTTGTGTGTTGATTAGTGGGTGCTAACGACAAGGGCGGGTTCAGAGGGGGTCATGACCCCCCCCCCCCCTGGGCTGGGTCCATCTGTACCCACTAAACAATGACCGCCCCCTCCCCCCCCCCCCCCCCTGGCGCCAAAGCTGGATCCGCCCTTGGCTAACGACTGCAGATGCAGACGAAACTAATTGCTTATTAACATAATTATTGTTCACCTATCATATGATCAGACATTGCAAAAGTTGCTTTTTACTTCATCATGATCATATAAGTACTATGCCATCAAACTCTTCAAGTTTGATTAAATCTAAAGAAAATTCTACTAGGAAAAAATTCACGCCGACCAGTAGCACGAATCAATATCGAATTCGTATCGTTTGCGAGTCCGAAATGTCTTTGTCAAATGTGTACTGATTTTTAGTTCTAGTTACGTACTTTGTGCCGCTGCTACTGTTCAAGTTTCCATACAAAATTTGACATTGACATTTCGCACTCGCAAACTATTCCAATTCGATAATGGTTCGTGCTAGGGGTACAGGCAACAGACGGGACTCGAACCTGTACCCTCCGCTGTCCGGGCGGATGCACTGACCATTAGATAATGACAGTGTTAAATGCCATAATCAAAACTTAAAGAAAAAAACCTTATACACTTTTTTAGATTGAGGAGCTCGATGGCGCCAGTGGTTAGCGCGTTCGGCTGCGGTCGTTGAAGTTGAGCAACTTTCGCAGTGGTCGGTCATTGGATGGGTGACCAAAGATTTACTATCTCGAGCTTCGGAAGGCATGTTAAGCCGTTGGTCCCGGCTGCATCTGCAGTCGTTAGCTCCCACCAACCCGCACTGGGCCCGCGTGGTAGGTCATGGCCCAATCTCCCTAATCCATCTATAGTTAAGGCCTATGCCCCAGCAGTAGGGACATTAATAGGCTGATGATGATAATGACTTTTTAGAGTCATTTAAAAACCTCTGAGCTTCAACAGCTATTTATTATTTCAGGTTCCGGAGAAAACACAAGAACAAAATGTTGCTAGTGACATTTTTAGTTTTTCTTCTACTACTGTTGTGCTTAGCGGTGGTCATGACGGTATTATGTAAGTAGTTATAAGGGCGGTCTTAACGAGGCGGTTTTTCGGCGTAAATAACGATGCCAATCTAAATAGGATATAATAGTCCCATACCGTCCGAAAAGGAAATTCTTTCCAATATATTAGTGTACACATTTAATGTCTTTGTGTAGACTTATGCCGCGGTAACACTTTGTCTTTAGCCCGAAGACGAGTGCCAATGGAATTCGGGTAAACGACTTAGTGTAAATTAACAGAGTCGAGGACAACGTCTTTACCCGACAGCGTCTTTCAGCGTCTATATAGAATTTATTCTCATTAAAACATAAACATCATTTACAATGACAATACTTACTAACTTATCTTTTTAACTCCATAATTGCGATTTTAAAACTCTAATTGCACATACATTAATTAAACTTTTTCTAATTAAAATCACACACTATTTTTAATAGAGATGATGACTATTTTTTTTCTTCGTTTATCAGGTAGATTATCAAAAAGTATTGGACATATATTTTTTCTTTTTTCACATAATATAAACATTGTAGAGATATATTGATTTGAAAAGTCGCATGACGTCACGTTTTGGTACAATTTTCACTTAAAAGTGACGTCACAAGCCCCTACTCCCAAACTTTGACGCGCTATAACTTTGTCATTTTTTGATTGATTGCCCAAAGAAAAAATACGTGTCCATTATTTTTTGACCATCTAACTGACGGACTAAATAGAATTTCGTTTACTGTACCCCGTCATCACTCTTATTGTGTCATGATTTTTGTCTGCTGCTGATACCCATACACTTGAGGCGTATAGTATAGTTGGTTCGACCACGGCACATGACTTATTAATATAATTATCATATCACTCTGTTCAGTGACAGCACATTTTAGCGCGTCCGTGAGTAGGAAGAAAAATAAACTAATGCAAAAGAGCACATATGTTTATATGGTGTCGATTAGCGTTAATTGATTTTTTTTATTAAATCGATCGATGCATCGAGTACCCGAATTCGGGCTAGCGACCAAATGTAATTGCGGCATTATGAGATGATATAGTTCATAGATTATAATAATAATATTTATTTATTTCCTTCACACAATGTTATATACAGTTGACAATAATAATACATAAAAGTTTTAGAGTAATATTATGGAAAGCTGACATCGGTGCCAGGTAAGACCTGTACCAGACTCCTCTCCCATATTAATGATTATGAGAAACAAATATCTTTAACTAATACTGATGGAGGCGTCGCTTTGTAGTTTACCTAAAACCGTCTCGTTAATAACAGCCCTAACGTTTAAATAGGTTTATTAACATCACGCCCTTGAGAGCTATTAATTTACACGAAAACAAAAGGTTAAATTCTTGGTAAAATTAAGTAACAACATTTATTAGGTCCACTTGGACCAAAGTAACCTCAGTTGTAATCTCCTCCTATTTGACTTAAAACAATTGAAAAAGATAGAATGATGAGTAAACACGAAGATAGAATGATAAGTCATAATTAGAAGCAAGAACTTTGGTACAAGTATGCCTTAGAATTTTAGGTGGTTACCCCCCATAGAAAGAGATTAGAAGTGCCTTGTGGACGGGGCAGGAGCGCCACAGTTATGTGAAATGAAATGAAAAGTCAATTATTCAGTCTAGGCTGTTACAAGCACTTGTGAAGGTCAAGAAGCTACGCCATCGGTTCGCAAAACTACGGCGGGAGACCTTGTACTGAGAAGAACCGGCAGGAAACTCAGCAAGGGCTGCTTTTTCCTCCCTGTATTGATATATACAGAGTCGTCAAGTTGAAAAATGACTTCAGAGATACTTCTGAACTCATCTTCCATTACATTATTTAGGATATAAATATATACAGTTACAATAAATTTTATATTTAGTATATAGGAAGCGGCATTAGGTAGGTACAATATATAGTACTGTTACAAAAACTGACTCATACGTGTGCGCATATGTGTGAGCGCGTATGTGTGAGCAAATGCTCATAAGTTGACCAAAACTTGGTTCTGATTGCGTCGTTGCTCTCGGCTGTGATCGCTGATTGGTTATATTGTTTGATGTCGCGTCGTTCGATTCGCTACTATCTATTAGATGGAAGTGTAGTGGGATCAAGCCGGCGACATCGGTTCCCGTACAAACGGCCTATGTTAAAATATCTTACCTCTTTCTGTTTTTTTTATTACTATGTTTTACGGCTCTGGATTCTAGTCCTTTTTAAGCCAAACACTGAACATGTCAAAAACAATGTAAACAACACAACTGTCACGTTTAACAGAATGTCATTGAGTTTAGCACATCACATCTTAATTTTCACTTCCACACTAAACTCTTTCTCTTCCTTGTTATATTTTGTCTACAGTATTTACGATGAATTTGAATAGTGGCTTGAAATACTTGAGATCTTACCTCTTTCTATGTTCTGTGGATTACCCTAACTAAACTTGTTAGATAACATTAGGTAACAAATGACTCAATAAATACGTGGTAGAACGGTGTTGTAGTTTTCTATAGAATAGAAAATTTGAGAATCGATTACTATTTCACAACCCTATGACGTCATACCTGAGGTGCTATTTCTGGCAGTGGCAATGTAGATAATGAGCTCTCGATTGTTTCATATCCAAAATATTGCAATGGAACATCATTAAACTATTGCTTCCACGCATTGGCAAATACCGGGACAACAGTAGTTAACGCTGAAAATTAACGTATAAAAATTGCAAATTTCGAGGTTTGGCTCTCGACAATTTCCTCATCGAAAATTTGTTTAATATTTGTAATAATATTTGAATTTTTCATAGAAAGTGTATCAAAAAAATTAAAGCCGTTAATATTTTGGTTCAACCTAGTGTTAAATCAGGTAGATTCAAAGGCATTTAGTCGTTTGTGCGCGTCCGACTAGCATTTCACCTTTTTTATATTCTCTCAATTTGGTATATTTTATTCTAAAAAAATAGCCTCTGCTGAGTTTTTTGTCGGTTCTTCTCAGTACAAGGTCTCCAGCCGTAGATTTACGAAACGATAGCACAGAGTTGACGTTCACAAGAGCTTGTAACAGCCTAGACTAAATCAGTGATTTTGAGTTTGAGTTAAGAACTTAATGTATTCATAATGTTATTGCTTCAGCAGTTCCAATTTTGATCACAGAAACGCATATAACAACTAAAGTAAATATTAATTTATAAGCGGCCACGCGCGACTTCGTGCACCTAAATTAGTTTTTTGAGTATCAAAGAAAGCTAAAATTTTTCAGGGATAAAAAAAATCCTATGTCTAAATAGGTACAGGTGATAAACTACATGTGCACCAAATTTCATCCAAATCTGTTCAGTATCTTTTCTCATTTATAATATTAAGCAGCAAGCAGTTATTATTGTATCAATTGTAAGATAAATTGTTATTATTGTTATTAACAGACGTAAAACAAAAACGGCATAAGCCAGTAAGAATTTGTGAGAGTAAAGAGTGCCTGCGCTCCGCAGCCAACCTCGCCCTTTCCATAGACAAGACGGCTGACCCGTGCGAAGACTTTTACCAGGTATCATATTTTAATTTCATCTTTCATGGCGCGTACTATACCACTCATGCGTTGCCTATGAAGGTAAAGGTTTACCCGAATTTTAAGACTGCCATATCGAAGCTGAAAGTTTTTCCGCTGCAGGAAGTTCGTTCCAAATCATGTTGGAACTCAAGAATTAAAAAATCAAAAAACCCGACTGCTTAATTATACTTCAAATAAAAACTGAAAAGAAAAAAACAAGTCCAGTAGTCTATAATTCTGTTAATAAGGAACAAAGCTACTTTAACAGTCGGGACCCATTAGATATTCAAGAATACATAATATTTTTCAACAGTGGGTCCCGACTGTTAAAGTAACTTTGTTCCTTATGAACAGAATTATAGACTACTGGACTTGTTTTTTTCTTTTCAGTTTTTATTTGAAGTATAATTAAGCAGTCGGGTTTTTTGATTTTTTAAATTTACCTTTTTTATTTCACACTTTTTAGTTGGTTAGTATTTTAAGACGGTATATACCGTAGTCTTGTTACTTCAGTATGGGAATTAATATCGCGGGAATTATTAAGTACCTGGCGTCGGTCTAAAAGATTGATTTATTAAGACGTATAAAGACTTTACCAGCGGGGTCAAGGCTACAGATGGTCCTCAATTTTCGCAAAAATGTGTAAGTTAAATCAAGTCGTTACATAAATATCTCTTATGTATGTAAATTTTATAGTAAACTAGCACTTACTCAAAAAGTCATCTTTTGTTTGTTTTTTTTAATTGTTTAGCAGTAAATATAAAATTCATTTACTTTTATTCGTCGACTATTTAAAATTGGCAGTGGCTGCATTGTCATGTCAATGCCGGACGTCTAAGATTGTGATATACACAAATTCAGTGTCAGTCCCTAGTCTCATAATTTGATAAACCTACATAATTCACAGAAACCCAATATGTAGATGCCAGAAGTTAACTTCAAATGTTTTTAATCACCCTATATACAATACCAATCAATGACGTTTATGTCGCAGGTTGAAGAAAGCAGTAATTCCCGTCTGTTTTTTTGGACAATGGTGGCAATTGCCTTAGATCACTAAATTAAATAATTATGCAATCACCAAAGCAAAGTTTATAATATTTGATTAAACTAAAGGCGCATAATAAAATTTACATAAAGTTAGGTAGAACACCATAGCAATCTCATTTATTATCAATTTATAGTTCTCTTTGTAGTTTTCTTTTAAAGCGTTCACATTTAACAGGTCAAAGACTTTGTATTCGACCCTTTTTTATTGGTAGTGTAAAGCTCGAATGAAGAGTACTCCCAGTACTGCAATCATGGCAATTATTTTCCAAATTTTCTTATTGTTTAAAAAAATACCGAATAACGTATCACTGTTAAGCACAAATGCTAAGTAACTTTTACAAATATAATCTATTACTTACTTTATTTTAAAATCTTTTTCATCAATTAAATACTTATCTTATCCTAACTATCTATACTAATATTATAAAGAAGCAAGATTTGTATGTTTGTAACAAATAATCTGTCAAACTTCTGAACCGGTTTCAAATATTAATTCATCATAAGGTAGCTACGTTATTTATTATAACATTTTTCTTTATTTAAATACATTTTGTCCGAGTGACATAGGCTATATTTTATCCCGATAAATAAATTTCGCCCGTACAATGCCCGGGTGGATCACTAGTAAGTATAATATAATATTATAGATGCGGAAGTGAATTTGTTAGTTGCGCTTCCGTGCCCTAATAGCTAAATCGAATATAATGAATTCCCATATAGAAGTAGATGGGAACTTGGTTCTTAGCTACAACATCGCAATACTTATATGCGTAGGGTGATGAAAGGGGTGATTTATCTATAAAAATCTACATTATTTACTTTGAATTTTGCAGAATTATTACAAAACCAATATTATCGCGAGCTAATTAATAAATACAGGAATTCCAATAAATAGCGAAAAATGGGTTATTTGTCATTATATTAAGTAAACTTTTTTTGTAACATTAAGTAATATCGTTAAAAAAATGAAAAACAGTAAAATTCTGAGTTTTTCATTAAAATTCAATAATCATAAATACCTATTATGATAATATATTTTTCATCATTTAATAAGAAGGAACTGTATCACAGTTTTATTGTTAGTACTTCATATAGGATCAGATACTGCGAATACCCTTTTTTTTTCTTTTACATAGTTTACCGCGCTAACACTTTGTCATTGTTGTAACTTTTGAAATATTTGTCGAAATGACATAGTGTAAAAAGCAAAGTTTATCGTCTTTAAATATCAAAAGTATTAGTTTGGATAAAAAATGATTTGTTAATACAAAATGTGCATTTTGGAAATAGATATCAAATAATATTTTAGTTTTGATTCATTATTTTAGCGGTAATGACTTACACATTGAAAATAGATATATGGTGCCACGGACTTTTTTTTAGAACTATTTAAGAGATACATTTTCACTCTACAATACATTATGTAACTTTTATTGTTTTTGCAGTGCAGGCCAAAATGGCTCGCAGATGGGAGATTTTTTGCCGTCTTATGTGACACTTATTGTTATATATTGGCCAATTCACTCAATAACTACATAAATTATTATATATATGTAATTATCATATATGAGCTATATTACTGTTAAGTTTCATTAAAATCCATTCAGTATTTTATAGGTGAAAGAGTAACAAAGATCCATACAAACGTAAGTTTGAAATTAAAAGCGTAAGTGGTTAATATACAACTTTAAAGCGTTGTAGATCCTAAACAATCATATAAAATGAAAAATGGTGTTAGGAACCTAAATATGATTTTTGATTATCTAGACAGTGATACCCCACTCGACATATTTTGTCAACTTATTTTTTTTACTTCGTCACAATATGGCGCCTAATGTTGCCCATATTAAATTTTGATTACTATCATATCTTTAGTAGCACTCCCATGATTGAGACGAATCGATTGATGTATGAATCATCAAAATCGGTCCAGGCGTTTGGTCGCTAGTGTGCCACAAAGGAACAAACATACATATATAGACTGTTAAACACATAACCCTGTCTGCGCGTCGCGCTTCGCGCTCTTGCATTGCGCAGCCGGGTAAAAAGAAACACGTGCATCGTAAGGCGATAAAACGCCAAGAATTCAGGTTATCGCGTAATCGCACAAATTATGTGCTAACATCTGCTAATGCGACGGGACCAACAGATTAATATGCGCTCCGAACGAAACAATTGGATTAATTTCATTTAAATAATCCGAAAGAATAGAATTCCCTGCCTGCGTCTGTGTTTCTAAGTGCATAAAATCCCACTCTTTATAAAGCCAAAGTAAAAAGTCATCTTCTGGGTAAGCTCACTGAATCAAAGGTTCTCGGGCTGGATGGGGTCAAGAGCAAACCAATAAAACAATAAAATAGTCGCCCAACCGATCACCGGCATTTTCGACAGATGCTTCACCACAAAAATCATACATGCATATAACGCGTTTATTTAAATATCGTACAATATTACTCTGGTCCCATAGTCATATATACTTTTATGATTATTCAAGTAAAAATTATTAATTTTCTTAAGCATAAACATATTGACATAACTGACCGGTAAATTTACTCATCTATTTCTATCAAAAACATTCACAATGTCCTCGTTACACTCGTGACATGCTCTAGGCTTTTAAGTACAATCTATTATCCCCAGTACGCCTGTGGCAACTGGGCGGAGGACCACCCGCGACCCGATGCCTACCGCTCCTACGATTGGTTCCGGGACAAACAGACCAAGGTCTACACGATACTACGGGACTTTCTCACCAAAAACACCACAGACCTACCCAATCCTGTGCAGCAGGCAAAGGACATGTATAAAGCATGTATGGATATCGGTAAGCCCCCAAGTCATATCTCTTTTTTGCTGCAATTTTTTTTCTATTTGCTCAATAACTTTCTCAATATTATGATTATATTATGATGATTGCCGTTGGGTTAAACAAATTAACTTTTTTTTTTCTTAGTTATTTCTGATTTTTACGTTTTTAGACATTAGGTAGTTTAAAGCTTTTGTAATTGTAAACTCATATCTTTATTCCGAAATAAATGTGTATGTGGGTGTACAATATATACTTTTTCCCTATAAACCTTAAGTAAACAAATCTATGAACTCGCTAAAACCTAAAAGTAGTATGAAACGTAGTTTCCAAAAGCAAAATGCTAGAGTAAAAACAAACAGTTTACTAGAGCATACGTCAGAATTATCATAGTATCAATTTAAGAGTAATGACGAATGAAAGAGCTTAGGTTTTTACAAATGTCGTATTGGTTCCATCCCACCTAATGATAAGCATAATGTGGATACAAATATGAAAATAAGTGATGCAGCTAAGGCACTTGTGCATCATCTCACCTATGTCCATAACGATCTCTTTAAGAATCTAAATGAAATATACCTTAACAATCTTGGGTAATAATTTAATCACGTTTTCAGATGTTTTAGACAAATTAGGATTAAAACCAGTTTTTGAGATTCTAAAAGAACTCGGACTACCGCTTTACCCAACTTACTTGAATGTAACGCAGAATAACAATTATGATGATTATAATTTCGATTGGATCGAAACAGTCATAAAGGTGAAGACATACTTGGGAATGGATGTGTTAGTCGGTTTTGATATATTTACGGACCCAAAAAACTCTTCTATATTTAGGTTAGTCATGGGATCGCCAGAAACTACAAACCCATTTCCAAGGTAATTGCAAACTTATAGACAATAAAATAATAAGGATAATCTTTCCTCAAATAGAGATTCTTTTTTTCTCTCAGGTGTTACTTATCTAAACAGTTGCTTTGAACTTTTCAGTATGCATAACGAAAAGAAGCGACATAACGGTCATAAAAGTAATAGTTATTATAGAATACCAATAAATGAAGAATTCGATGAAAGCTTCACTGTTTCTTATAATCATGAAAAGAATCGCGATGAAAATGAAGACCAGAAAAGAGCGCAAGCATACAAACTGTTTTACGCAGAGCTTATGAAGCTATTTGTCATAGAAACTGGTAATTTTACGAGTTCCAATATTAACGAAATAGAATTGGACCAGAAAATCTTGGCCACTTCTAATGAGTATTATAATTTATATAATGAGCTTTACGAGGTGAGTGATATCTACACAAATAAAAACCCTTATTTTTCTATATATGTATTCTGTGAATACCTAAAGTTTCCTTTTATTGTTATTGTATTTGGTTTTGCCAAAAAATAAATGTTTTCAACTGCCTATGTAAAACAAAACCTTTTTATTTTTTCTCCAAATACAACTAGCGGTATACAAGGTCGTCGCACGGTCGTGCCGCATGGAGGGAAAGTATATTAAATATTGAAGAAATTATATTTTACTGAAAGGAGACATCATTTTATTTTTAATAATAAGTAGAATTGCCTCATTCGCGAAACGAACTCTTAAAATGTGAAAAAAACACATGTATTTTATGGTTACGCTCTGTTCGAATAAGCATTAAAAAATATATTACAATTAGTAGTTATAACATTTGCCACTAGATGGCGCTGTACCATTATGAATCGCGCAAAACTTTCGCGTCAGTGTTGTAGATATAAGGAATTGGTAACAAATAAATCCTTCTTGTTTTCGCCTTGGACACAGTTTTGTCTTTTTTATTTCATCTACGTATTCAAAAGCTAAAAGCGCGAGAAACCCTTTTCATTTCTTATGTGGGATCTGTACATGGTACCTTATCGAGTCGGAGTGGCTTAGTGGTTGTGTGTGTGTGCGATCATTATACATTATAAAGAAGAAATTAATAGTTGGCAGATGCAATAACGGCGAGATAATTGGATATTACAACAGCCAAAAGCAGGAAAGTGGTTTGATTTTTGCTATTTTATGCATTTACATATGGTGCAAAAACTTAAGTCAAATGCAAAAATATTGACGAAAGTTTCGTGAAATCATAACATTCTTCGTTTTAATCTACGTGTTTGCGTCGAATTTATAACTACGAGCTGAACTTCCATGCATATTTTCTCAACGTAATCGACCTGTGACTACCTACATCTGTTTTATCTGCGTGATGTTTGAACGAAATTGGACATTCCTATCGCCTTTTAATGAGTGTTTTTAAGTAGTAATTGAATTTTATGCCAAATTTACTGATGATTTATTGGTGTTAAGTAATCTATTGTTCTGTTGTTTATACATTTGTTTTTTATACATAGAAAATACAAAGTTCGAAAATGGAGTCGATGTTTAAGCTTCAATCGGATACTGCATCCAACATTTCTAAAGCAAAAATTAATTTTAAAAAGTCTCCTAAAGACCGTATAACTATGTCTTATGTAGAAGCGCGGGTACTAAATTCCATTAGTTGTGGTGGAATTTCGGGAAAATTTTGATGGGGGGGGGAGGGGGGGGTCCCCCCGACTCCCCCCCACCAAAGATTTTTTTAGGAAATGCATATTTTTTTTTTTTTTTTTAATTAACCTAACTTAAAATTCTTGAAATCTCAGAGAGTTGTAACCCCCCTTCAGCCCCTCCACCTCTCCCGACCCCCCCTGACCTCCCCCGACCCCCCCAACCCCCAACCGGACCCCCCCCCCCTCGCGGCTATGTTATTACAGAAATGATAATTATAAAAAATGAGAGATAAATGAGTGACAGGGTTTTAAATAAAACAAACTTTCTAACTTTTTATATTTTATATACATAACGTATAACATTTATTAGCTCGGTAAAAGGATCTTTATGTTCAATTTGGATTCTTCTTCTCCATAATGTCTCCATTACCCAATCACCAAACTCCCCTTTAAAGTTACATAAGATGAATTTTCTTTTGAGGACCCGCCAATGGCTCTCTATCCTCTGAGTATGTGTTCCATCGGGAGCAACAAATCTGTTTTCAGGATCGCTATGGTTCACTCTGTGATGGGTATACCCATGTTCGGGAAGGCAATTGTATGCTCTCCAAAAATCCGTATGAATAATGGAGCCCTCCCGAACATGTTTTTTGATAATTGGTATTAATATCTCCGCTGACCGCTCATTATCAGGACACAGTTCAATCCTTAAATCGTCACTCCCATCCTCCACCATACCAATGACCCAGTGGCCCTCAATATGACGTCCTCTGTTATATTTACGCTTTCCAAATTTTGATTCGTCAATTTGGACGATTTTGCCAGGGCCACCGATCATTGGTCTTTCTTCTTGTTTCTCCAGTTCATAAACAACAATTGCTTCTCGACAATAACTGAACCAATCAGCTATTGTCCTAAATGATAAGACTGTATTTTTTTCAAAATTCACAGTCTCTCGTCGCACATCTTCATATGTTGCATTGTGAGCAAATAAATACATTAGCTCGAACGTTGTTGTTATAGGTAACCGTGCTTGTTCAAACCAGGTTCCTAGAGCCTGGCTATAAGTTTTACTGCGACAGTTAGATTTATAACATCTAAATGTTCCAACATTTTGGGAAATTCGCACCAATTTCATTGGACGCCTGTGATAACCACACATTTTCTCTCGAGGCATAAGTTCATTCTCCTCCGCAAACCGAATGCAATCATCAGGCGTAGCAAATGTTTGATGAACTCTCCGTAAGTTCCACTGTAAACGGACTTCTTCTGAGTATAAGTGTATTCGCCTTCCAGAAGATCCAGATTGCTGCGGTTGAGCTGAATCCTCACCTGAAATGAATACAAATATAATAATTAATAAGATAGAGCAAAAATAGATTAAAATTACAGTGTAGTTTTAAAGAAAACCAGATAATTTCAGAATTTATGGTTCCCTATTTTGTAGGATGCAAGGACTAGGGAAGTAAAAATCAGTACTTCTGCCTTATCTCCGGCGCTGCGGGAATAGCAGCCCCTCCGCCTTTGCGTGACAAAGTCACAAGCATCATGCTTGCGGCTTTGTCACAGCAGGCGGGGGCAGCTCTCCCTCCGCGCCTCCGGGCTCTAAAAAACACTCTAGGGGTAGGACAGACCAAGACCACGGCGTGTCGGGGTTGACAAAGTCGGTTCTGAATTAAAAGTTGTTGTAAAGCCACATTTACCTTTTTTTTCTAAGTGTTGAGCCCATACTATTTTTTATTTACCAAGTAAATAATAGCATATATAATTTTTACCTGAGAACTCGGTCAATCCATCTGGAGCAACATCAGCGGTGGTAGAACACCCAGCAATGGGCTCATCGCTCTGCACACGAGGTACTGGCGAGGAGCACCCAGCAATGGGTTCCATTTCACCGACAGGGCGCACAAGTGGCTCATTAGAGTCCAACACTTGCTCACACAAATGCACTGGAGAGGAGTTCGTCACAAGTGGCTCATTAGAGTCCAACACTCGCACTACACTCGACTCTTCAGGCGCAGGGACAGCAGCAGAACTCGAGGCCGAGGGCTTTGAGGACGCCATGGTAGTCAGACAGACGATGCAAATATCAACAGGAGTACGAAAACGCTCTCAACTGCGACGAACACAAAGACTGACTGACAGATGTCAAAACAAACACAAAATAGCGGGACATCTGTCATTTTGACAATAGTACCAACATAATAAACATATTTTTTACCACAGACAACGAAAAACATGTTATTTCTGCATGAAAAAATGGTAGCACTGATCAAAAATTGCTGTCAAAATTTACTTTAACCTACAAAAATATTAATTTTCAATAATTTTTTTCTCGAGTTCTATTCGTTTTCGAATAAAAAGATATCGTGTGTGTGTTCCTAATAATTAATACTTTCCGTGACAAAAATCTTAGCTCGCTACTCAACCACAACTTAAGGAAAGCTGAGCCGAAGCGCGTCTTGAAATGTTAGAAAAACTGTGGGAATCGTTTTATACCACACATCGGAAAATTATAGAAGATGTTTCACAAAGTGAACTTAAAAGCTCCGTATATCAAAGTACAGATTTATATGCGGAGACCGAAGACTTTGACATCGATTACAAATCCGAATTAAAAGAAATATTGCGTAAATTTAAGTTAAGTGACACAAATCTAAGTGTAAAATCAAAGAGTAACTCTGAAAATGTTTCTAATAATTTAAAGTTGCCTAAAATAACATTACCCATGTTTAGCGGAAAATATGTAGAATGGACAAGTTTCCGAGATTTATTTATGTCTCTTATACACAATAATAAGTCATTAGACAACGTCCAAAAACTTCATTATTTGAAAAGCCATTTATCTGACGAAGCGGAGCAATTATTGCGCCATGTTCCCGTCACCAGTGACAATTATTCAATTTGTTGGTTAAATTTAGAAAATCGTTATAATAACAAAAAATATTTATCTAATTGCATTCTTTCACGTTTTATGAGTCAAAAAATAATAAATGTCGAATCTTCTAGTGCTTTAAAGGAGTTATTGGATACTAGCAATGAAAGTCTTAATGCTTTGAGACAATTAGGAGTAAATGTCAGCGAATGGGATGTTATTGTAATATACATTTTAAGTTCAAAATTAGACTGTGAAACACGCAAGCAATGGGAAATAAAAATTAGTGAGTCTGTAGAGCAATTACCAACATGGAGTATATTTAAAGAATTTTTGGAACAGCGCTTTAGGGCACTGGAGTTTTTAGATACTAAGAGTTTAAAAAATAATAGTAATCGTAATGTACCACATAAAGTTAAAGTATTTCACGTCACTTCCAATGTATGTCCATATTGCAATGATAATCACAAACTTTATTCTTGTAAAAAGTTTGCAAATGATGATGTCATTTCACGTCGTGACTTTGTCCAAAAGCAGAACTTGTGCTTCAACTGCTTAGGTTCTCGTCATTCAGTAATCTCATGCCGTCAACCAACTAGATGCCGCATTTGTAGAAGGAAGCATCATTCCTTATTGCACAATCCCAATATAGGTCAAAATGTAAAGGAAAACGTAGATGAACCACCTGCCGGTGCAGGAACTGTGTCCACAGTAACCATACCTCAGGGCGATACCGCTCAAGCTCTTACAAGTTGTTTCTCCAACATACACTCGCAAGTTTTATTAGCAACTGCCTTGGTAGATATCGAGTCCCGAACAGGCGCAAACATAACTTTTAGATCAATGTTAGATCAGGGTTCTCAAGCTTCGTTTATAACGGAGTCTGCAGTCCAATTGCTAGGACTGCA